TTGTTGAGTTAAAAATAAAAAAAAGAACTTAGATGTTTAATTAGGATTAGAGTTAGATAGAGTTAGTGTAAAAAAAATATCTTATAGTAAAAGTTCTCAAGGAATTTTTTTTGTTATAGCACAAAAGATAGTTTCATATGTGAAATTTTGAGTTATAAGCAACTTTTGACAAAACGAATGTTTGTTTTGAAATTTCCTGATCATGCTATGTTATATGTAATCTTGAAATTTGATTAGTCAATTATTATAATGCGATATATAACACATCACAGGGCTGCGATGCCTAGTTAAGTCCTAAAATTAATATTATTTTTAGCTAAAATATTTCTAATTTCTTGAAGAATTATTATCAAATTATTATGAGATACATTAGATAAATTTTTAAATTGTAAACAGTCTAAATCATTTAAATATAGAAGTAATGAATTAATTATTGATAAAATTTCTTTTTTTAATAAAGAATTTTCAGACTTTTGAAAATTTGTTTCTTCACTTGTAATTGGAATTGAATGCCAAGTTCTAGTAAATTTTTTTTAATTAATATTTTTTGAATAAATTCAATTCTTTTTGTTGTGCAAGTTCATTAAAGTTTTTCATTTCTTCACTTAACTCCTATTCACTATTAATATTTTGACAATTATTATTATTAGGATTTACAAAATTTGCTTTTCTTATTTGTACTCTAAATCTACAAGATACAACTGCAAAATCTGGTCTTGTACATTTTTTGTGAAAATCATTTTTATAATAATTTATCAAATTAAAAAAATTATTACGTAATTTTATAAATTTCATACAATTACATGCGGCAATTTCCCAATGATGTTGTAAAGGAATAGGAGAAATTAAAGATTTTAAAGCCTTATATATTTCTTTAAGTATTGCATTAAGACCTTGATATTGATCTAAAAATCCTGATTATATGATTACTATATTTTTTTAAATTAAATTATAAATTTCAAACTTTAATTTTAATATTTGTTTTTCATAAGTTGCTTTAATTAATTGATAAATTAGATGTTGTTAAGCTGACCAAATAGGAGAAAATATTCTTCTAGCTGCAATTCTTAATAATGATCTATTTGTATAAACTCCAATACAAAAATTAATAATTGATTGTAAATAATAAAATATTTGTTCATATTTTAATTTAAATAAAGGACTAGTTTGATTTTGTGCTCATATTAAATATTCTTGAACAGAAGAATTATTTTCTTTAATAATATATAGCTATATTAATTCTAAACTTATTGCATATTTATAAATATTGCATATTGAATCCCATAATTTATAATGATCAGAGCATTTTTTAAAATATTAAAGTTGTTTTTCAGATTAATATCCTTGTATTGAGCAAAATTTTTAATATTAATATTTTAATTTAATTCAACAAATGCTTTTAACATATTTATTTCTTCATGAAGAGGTCCAGGTAATAAAATAAGCTATGAATAATCTTTTTTTATTTTTTGAATTTATTGATATAGTATTTTATCATATATAACTACAATCTATTTACATTTACTGTCTTTAATTTCAGATATTTCTTCAATATGTTCAAGAATTTTTTTAAGATTTGCAACTGAATTTGGATTAATATTTTTTGAATCAGAAATAAATATTTGTGGAGTATCAATCTTGTTTTTTAAAATTAATTGTTTATCTAATTTATCTAAAGTATATGTATTAAATACTAAAGATTTTTCAGTATTATTTGCAATTACCAATGGTTCATTTAATTGTTTTAATTCATTAATTGTTGATAATTTTGCATTACAATTAGGACATAATTGTTTTTTATTATTAATATTAGAAGTTTGGCATTCTAAACATTTTTTAATAGATCTACTTTGCTCATTATTGTTTAGTAATTTATCTACTAAACTATTTGTTTGATTTTTTTTTCTATAAGTTCATCTATAATAATTTGTAAATATTTATTAAGTTCTTAATTAATTTCATTTTTCATTTTTGAATTTAAATAAAATAAACTTTTATATTGTTCAGAATTAATTTCAGAATATAACCAAGGATCTTGATTAAATTATATATTATTATTTTGATCATATTGAAATACAGCAAAACTTGTAACTATATGAAATATAACTATATTATATCCACAATCTAAATAATTTTTTTGTTCTTTTTGCTCATTATCAAAAGCCAAGAATACAAAACCTTCAGGAAATGATACTTGTTTATTAGCTAAATTTTCTAATTATTTAATAAATTTTGTATAACTTCCAGAACTAATAATATGATTATCAATATCAATAATAGATTTAGATCTTGCAAATAAATATTTAATTGCTGAAACTGCTAAATTAATTGCTGAAACATTTTAAATTTCTTGTTCTATAAATAGAATCAACTGCAACTACATATTTAAATAACTTTTTATCTGTAAGTTGATTTTCATTTTCATTATAAGTAATAGTTTTTATAAATTCAACAATAACTAGATTACATTTAAAAAGCCAAGCTAAAGGTGTATATAATAATAATTTTTTTAAACTGAATCTTTCTTAATTATCTATTAAAGTTATTAAATCATTATAAAAAATTTTTCTTTCTTTTTGAGCTATTTCTTTAATAAATTTAATACAAATTATTGATCATTAAAATTAAAATTAATTATTTTTTTTAATTAATTATTTTCAACTATTAATTTATTATTTTTAGCAATTAATTCATTATTTTTAACTTCTAATTTTTTAATTTGTTGTTTATATTCTTTTAATTAATTTTTAATTTCTTCTAATTGTTTTTAAAAATTATTATAATCATCATTTATAGAACTTGAAAATTTTAAATTTTTTTGTAATCTTTTAATAAAATTATTATTTTTAATAACTTGATTATAATGTTTTTGATATATAATATATTTATCTAAAGATCTAAGAGTATCCTTTAGTTTCAAATAATAATTGACTAAAATATCAATTTTTTGAATAACTTTTGGTCCTATTGCCTTACATGTTTTTTGCTTTTTACTAATTTTACATTCAATTAACTCCAATTCTGTATACTCATATATTTTTACTAAATTTTTAAATAAACAAATTTTTTATCTTTTTCTTCTTCTAATTGGTTATCAATATTTTCTTCTACAATTTCTATTATTTCTATTATTTAAAATTTAAAAT